AAGCCCATCTTCACAGCGTAATCCCGTCGTTACTTCGAGTTAGAGTCAGGATTCCGTAATCCACCTACACCATCAATTTATTTTCCATAGTGCTCGCACATCACAATTTGTATGTGTCGGTAATTCGACGTCAATTGCGTACATTGGCACAGAAAAAGAGAACAAACAAATACGTAGAGACGATCCAGTCAGCTCAGCATTACGTTTGAGCTCGACAAATGCAACTATCAAAAAGGAACACACCAAATTAATTCGTTTCTTCTTTTGTTGTTGGTGCTGTTGCTACTTTGGCGTCGTCGTCGTCGTCGTTTTCCCGGTTGAGAAAATAAATATGTGCATAATCCGGGGACCGATGTGAACCTGCGCGCATCACGAGAAAGAAAATCTCGCATTTGGCGGAATACAATACGCGATAACCGCCCAATAATTTAATCGTCTTCACAATTATTTCGCCTTTTTTATTCTCTCTGTGCTATTCATTATTATTACCATTAGATTGTTAGCGTTTGTCGAACGATGTTCGATGCGAACAAGACATTTTGGATGCTATTTGAATGCCTGCCCGTTTTTGGCTCTCTTTCGCTCGGGTCTTTCCTCTCTCGCTCGACTTTTTCCTGTCTCATTCGGAACTTTCTCTGTCTTTCTTACTCCAGCTCTGGCTCTGACTCTTTTTCTCTCACTCTCTCTCTCTCTCTCTCTCTCTCTGTCTCCCGCTCACTCTCTGTCGTTCGCTCGTCTTCATCGTTAGCCACATTTCATCATCTCGTATGCAGATAACAAATGCTGGATTTTTTTTCTTCAAATTTAGAATATATTCAGCGTAAGCCAAGCGATTTTTCGCTTTGCTATTTTATAGCTCGCGTTTTGTTCTCTCATTCACCTCATTGCTTTCGGTTGTGATTTGTATTATGTTTTCGTTGCGCGTTTTTGCATTTGTTTCTGTTGTTCTTTTTTTTCTTCTTCTATTCCATATTGAAACTGCCGTTCATCTGAGGCTAAAATTGTTGTTGATGCTGTTCGCTTGGGTGTGAGCGTGTGTTTTAGTGTCTGTATGCACCGTGGAGTATTCGCATGAGACTTTTGGCTCATCTCAAATGTCTACACTTTCCGTTGTGTTTTGCTTCGCTAAAGAGAAATGTGAACTAAAGAGATGTGTATACTTTTTTTTCTCTACTATAGCTCGTCTCTTGTTGTGCGCCGTTGTTGCTGCTGCTGTGTGCCGTTTATACGTTTTTTCATTCCTGCTAGTTTGCTTTTATTTCGGTGCATATTGTGTTTTGATGCCATTCTTCTTCATCGTCGTCATCGTCGTCGTCGTCGTCGTCGTCGTCGTCGTTGTTGTTGTTGTTTGTGTTTCGTTGCATTTGACAAAGTTGGGGTTAAAGTCGTGACGCATGCACCATTTCAATTTAATCATATTTTTACTGTTGCTGACTGCTAACTGCTGTTGCTTTATTCGCAATTTACATTTCATTCCATCTCTCGCGCGCCTTTTTGCCTTCAGTGCATTTTCACATTCTTCGTCTTTTTTTTTTGTTATTATTCGGTTGGTCGAATTAGACGAGCGAGAGAAAAAGTCAAGAAGATAACAAACACAGAGTTTCAGAGCAGAATAGAAAAAGAGAACACAGAAGAAAAAAGCAAAACAACAACGGCACAACACACTGTAGCACATCGTGCGTAACCACGAATGCTTTTATATGTGAATAAATCTCAATAGCCAACTTCAAAGCCATTTTCGTACGATGCGAGGGAGGTGTGTGTAAGTGTATGTATGCATATAGGTTCAGATTGCATTATTAGCCACAGGATACGCGCGCAACGATGCAACCAATGAATATTGCAACGAAAAAAAAAACAACAACAACAGACACAAAATTACTGAGAGAGATAAAACGATAGATTTGATATATGAAATCGTATGCAAAACGACGAACGTGCATCGTGTATGCCAACCACACTGCAACGGTTTTGATCACAAATTCGTCACGAATCACGCGCACACTATGTCTATGTTTGTGTGTGTGTATGTCGTCGTTCAATCCCTATCCATGCCATCTAATCGCGTAAATAAGCTTTACACATTCAATCGATTTGATTCATGCGAATGCACATTTTCTTTTTCGATGATTCTCATTTCATGTGTCACTCACAGAATAACGCGTTTCTATTTTTGTTTCTCTATCAACAGCTCTTTTTTTCTCTTCTAATTAGCTACCTAATATTCGGAAATTTTAACATCAAATAAAACTCCGTTGCCATACAATGTGAACAAAAAATCTGTGAATGCGAAATTGATTTATTTCTTCAACTAATTCAAGCCATGAAACCGGATGAAATTCATTCAATATTTATGCATATTGACCGACATGTTAATGCAACCCTTTTGATTGATGTCGATATTTTTTGCCCGTTCGAAGAATCATCTGAATGATTTTTTATTCAGCAACTTTTTTTTTACTTTTAAATAATTAATTGGCTAGGGATAGCCTGCTAGAATTCTACGGAAAATGCATTTTTCAGCAGAAAAAAATGCACATGCAGTGGCGATCTATTTTTAACCATTGTTCAACTGAATGCGCACGATTTTATTAACTAGACTACATGATTACATCATGTAAATTTACCATAAAATAGTTTTATATACCAAAATCAATTGAATTAACACACCAAACATGGGAGTAGACAGAAAAAAATTTGCTCAAATGAATGTGTGATGTTTATCTGCTATTCTCACGGCAATAACATATTCATGTGTCATTTTTTTTACTTCAAAAAATTAAGCGATTTTTATAAGATTAATTTAATTAATCGTGTAAATTTCAAAAACTAATAAATCTTTTTCTTTTCTCCTCTTCCGAAATCTACCAAGAAAAAAGAACACAATAAATCATCAAACATTTTTTCATAACCATGGAATTTTATGGGCAATTCATCTAAATTAAGCAAATAAACAATTTGTTTGCTTCCAAACACAAATGAATTTAATCGTAATGTAAAATCAGACAGTTTAATTTCATATGAATGATTTATTTGAAAATAAAATTTCGCTAAGCATAATAATTTGCTTGCTCAAACGTTCCTTTTCATGAAGAATTGTTTGTTTTGGAAGATTAAATTTTAGAATTTAGACATTAAATTCATTTTTTAATAAATTTAAATGAAATTTTTTTTATCAAAGTTATTTTATTACAATTTGCATCACATCTTGAAATTTAACTTAATTTTCAAGACTTAAATGTTCAAGACAATGTTCAAAGTGTAAATTACGAAATTCATGACCAGCTACAATCCTTTTGTACTGGTGTAACCAAGAATCTTTCTCAGCAATCACCCAAAATATACACCATGTTCTTGTTTTTATCCCTTCGTTCTAACGAACTCATTTAGCATCTTAAACAAAGGCAAACGCACGCATTTTAATATTATTGCAATTATCTGATTGAATACTCGAATCGACTGGTATTTAAACGACGGCTGTGGCGCGAAGAATCTGTTTTTTTTCTTCTTCAAGACTGAGACTGTTGTGTGCATATGTGCCTGGAAACGCAACTAAATGATTTCATTGTTAAATGTAAAACATAAACGTAAAGATCGAAAAGGTGCCATATTAAGATTTCCGTGAATTGTCTGTGTTAAGATGCGACACGTAGATGGTCGTTTATTTGGCATTTTCCCTATGTCATGTTTGTGAATCGTGTTTTTTTTCTTGCTCCCTCTCTCTCTCTCTTAAAATCTTATCTCAATATTTAAGCAGCCAACAGCCACCACAAGGCATGTTATTTGCATTGCCAAGTGCGTATCACGCCCGAACGTAATTTTGTCAAGTTCAGTTGAATTCATGCACGTATCGGATTCAATCAAGTCGTTGCAACAACAACAACAACAGCAGCGACATAGCCGAAGACACACGTCCGATCGAATTGTCAGGCTGGGAAATTGAAGAGTTTGTGCGCGCGCGCGTTTGAGAGAGTAAATCGTTGACAATTTCGTCGGTCGATTGATATGAAACAATCGAATGTATGAGTGAAGCGGTGAAGAAATCATTTAATCGTAAATTATAATGATATAGGCATTCAAACACCTTTGACCTTCTGTGTGATCGGCATTGGTCTTTTACAGTTAGGCGCTCGCGCACGCGCAACAGCAACAAAAAACTAAACGCAAATAAATGATTATATGTATTATTCTACACGGCAAAACGAAGAATACACCGATCTCGTGAATGTGATCATTCATCGGTAATTTTCGAATTCCCACGAAATTGCTTCAATTTCCTTCGCCATTTGGTGCTTTTGTTTTATTTTCCGTAGTGTGGCTGTATGCCACAGAGATTAATAGGCCAACAATGAAAATAGCAACGTCGTCCGTCTATTATTACGGAACAGAAACAAATCCTGATTACTTCCAATTTAACGCAAGCTCACCATTTTTTCGTCTTCTTCTGCCGTTGATTGCTCGCCGTGCGACAACCGGCTACAGCAGCACCACATTCAATTGCGACGAATGCAGCGCAACAAACTTTGTAAATGCATGCAATAACCAAATGAAGCGTTTTCCGTGTACGCGATTAATTCAAATGAGAGAGAGAAAGAGAGCGAGAAGCATTGCACATACATTTTGGTGCGATGACACAGAGCAAACGAGAAAGTGAGTGTGAGACAAGGCGAACGAGCCACGACGGAATTGAGCTGCAGTCGTGATATAGAAAAAAAATTGAGATATTTTTTTGATATGCAAATCATTTCCGACGAACTTAATGTCACACATTGTTTTTTCCACTGTACGCACAGAGTACAGCGCCTATATTCACTTGAACTGCGCTCGTTGAATCGATGGCACTCGGCGATGCTCGCGAACTCATTACGTTTCATTTAGTGGGAAATGTATCGTCATATCATTCATCACATTTGCCTAGGCTCGCGCTCTTTTCCTCTTCAATCTGTCTTTCTCTTTCTTTCTCTACGGACGATTGGCTAATAGAATAACAAATACGTCAATTTTAAACGTCTTCGAAATGGCCCGCATTTATTATATAGTATATACATTACTCGTTTTTTCTGTGTATCACAATGGCTTGAGCAATAGCTCATTAAAATCAATAGTGAATTAAATTTTACAATCAATGTTCGATACAATATTGCCTATGACTTGATAGCGCTGACAATTTACAAATTTACAATTTTGTCATTTTTGCTCCTGAAAAACTAGGAATATAGGGCATTTTTTTCTTTAAATATTTAACAAAAAGCCATCGGCTGTTTCTAATAACTACTTAAAATAATAATTTTTGCGTGTCATCGCTTGTTATGGGAGTGGATAGATCAGTAATTTCTTGCTCTTCAATCATTGTTGATGGTGGCGGCACATCGCCTCGATGGTTGTTGTTGTTATTCTGACGATGGATCATGATTTCATTGAGTTTACACATTTTCACACGCGCCGTTTCGATTGCCGACCTGGGATTCTCGAAATGCATGCTAATCGTGTGGTTAGTCTTGGTAAAAAAACGCTTGTAAACAAAAAGTCCCCCCATTACAAGTGCTATCAACAATGCGATTATGAGGAGTGTGCTTAAAACAGTTTTTGCCATGCTGCCCGATTCCTCTTCCGAACCGTTTTGATGGAATAGCGGCTGGTTTTGTTGTTCAGTCTAAAAACAAATGGGAAACATTTTTTTTCAATCAATTGAATGAGTATGTGATGTCTGTTTGCGTACGCAACACGCAATATATGCACTTACCATGCATTCAACGCCAGCCCCAACCGATTGACCAAAATCACAGATGCATTTAGCACCCATATCGGATGGAGTGCAAATCGTATTGCACTTGTTGTTCGCACACAAGTTTTCGGTGGATTTTTGTCGCGATTTGTGTGCGATTACTAGATTATCCACATGATTGACGTTCAGCGGGAATTGTTGGCAACGTCGGTCACCATACATTGGGCATTTGACAATTATTTTCGATCCAGCATTCGACACATAAGCATGACTCTCGAACAGTGTGATTTCGATGGGTCGTGTTATGAACTCGTTTCGGGCAATCATCAGTTGTTTTCCCGTTCCATCGTATCGCACCGACCAAATCGTTTTCGTCTCCAAGCCCACATAGTAGATGCGTTCCGTGTAAAAGTCACATGTTATTGACGGCACGAAAAACGAATCTTTGGTTATCATTTGCTTATGACTACCGTCCAATCCGTGTGCAATGATTTTACTCTCGGGCATGGTGAATTCGAATTTTTTTACAATCACATAGAACAGGCGATGATGCAGTGCATCAACGGCAAGCGATTTGATGTGTTCGCCTTCTTTAAATTCAATCAATGTGATACACTTGCGATTTTCCATGTGACACACTTTGATGGCCACTGATTTATCGATGAAATACACGTTGTCGGTAATCCAATCGACAGCCACATGTGTTGGCATACCAATATTTGTTACCGTATTCACAGCAGCACCGTCTTGTGTAAAATTAAATTCGTACAATGCACCGCTGTCTTCTATGGTGAAATACAGCATTTTTTTGTCGAAATGCATATCGAGACCGACAATCTTCGAATCATTCGTAGATTTTATGGGCGTCAAAAAGATATGATCTAATCGGTAAATTGTATCGAATGACGAGTAAAACATAAACATTTTGCTATTCGTTGATTTGCATGACATTTTATCGGTGCTCAATGCAAAGCCACTGAAACAAGAACATCGATATGATCCAAATGTATTTTCGCACTTTTGTGCACACGGCGAATGGCCGCTTGTGCATTCGTTGATGTCGCTACATGATTTTTTGTCGGGATTCAGGGAATATCCATCGTGACAGGCACAAACTGGACCATTCGGTGATCGAGCGCATATTTGATCGCATGGTGAATTCTTACATGCTGTTGCACAGTTCGCTCCCTCATCTGAACCATCTTCGCAATGGGGTTTGTTATCGCAAACATGGTCCCAATCAACACATTCTTCATTTTTACATTTAAACTCGTCATCTGAACAGGCCGGGTGATAATAATGGTGATCGGCGGTGCTGTTGCCACACTTCAATTCATCGCTTCCATCTTTACAGTCCTTATGATTGTCACAACGCCATTTCATTGGTATGCACTCACTTGGACCACACTTGAACTCATGCTCTGTGCACTGGTCACAATCCAATTCATCTTCACCTGTTTATTGATTTAGTTTGGAAATTGAATGGGATTTCAATTTTTCTGATAAGAATATTGCTTCCGTGTTTACCTTTGGGACAGTCAGCGTATCCATTGCATCGTTTACTCATATCTAAACAGATTGTTTTGTTATTTCTGCATTGGAACATTTTTGTTTCGCCATCACCACATACGATCTCCACTTGATCCTTGTTCCAAGCCTCGCAACCGGTTTCATCCGAGAAGTCACCGCAATCGTTGGCGCCATTGCACCATAATGATTTTGAAATGCATGTTCCATGCTCGCACTGCATCATATCGTCCGTGCATTTTTCGGGGGCTGTAGAATTTGAAGAAGGAAAATAGAATTCAATCAAATTTACGAATGAAGTTGTCATTTTCAAACGAAGAATTCAATATGTGCTTTTCGAGTTGGCCATAAGGCCAAGATGGAATGAAATGCGAAGAGAAAAAAAACCATTTGTCATGCTTACGGCAATTTTCCTCATCATTTGAGCAATCCAAGGCGCCATCACAAACCCAGGCAGTCGGAATACATTGATTGTTTGAGCATTTAAATTCTTTAGCGTTGCAAGTTCTGCTCTCCGACTGACGACAGGTAGTTTCAAGCTCATCTTCGCCAGTTGCACAGTCCTATGTAGAAAGGGCAAAATATGATTAGAAACAATAAATTATTTAGAAATGGTTTTAGCTTTA